GAGAGAGAGAGAGAGAGAGAGAGAGAGAGAGAGAGAGAGAGAGAGAGAGAGAGAGAGAGAGAGAGAAAGAAAGATAGGCACATATATAGATAGATAGATAGGTAGATAGATAAAAAAAATATGTATCCATACATACATACATACATACACACATCATCATTAACAATAATATAATTATTAACATTGTTAGTATTACTATAATTATTACTGTTATTATCATTATAATAAAAACAATAATAATGATAATAATAATAATAATAATAATAATAATAATAATAATAATTATCATTATTATTATCATAATCGCCATCATTACTATTATATTCATAACTGATATTATCATGTTTTTTATTATTTTTATCTTTATTATTACTGTTATTATCGTCATTACTGTTATCATCATCCTTATCGTTATTGCTTTATTATCATTGTTATCTTTATGATTAATCATTGTTACTGTTACTATCATTCTTCTTCTTATTATTATTATTGTTATTATTATTACTATTATTATTATTATTATCATTATTATTATCATCATTATTACTATCATTATTATTATCATTATTATTATTATTATTATTATTGTTATCATTATTATTATTATTATTATTATTATTATTATAACATAACCAAGGAGGTTATGTTTTTGACGGCGTTGGTTTGTTTGTTTGTTAGCAGCGTAGCTCAAAAAGTGCTGGCCGGATTTCATCGAAATTTTGGGGACAAGTCAGAAAGGGACTAACTTAGAACTGATTAAATTTTGGTGACATTCCGAATTACCGTCTGGACGCAGCCAAAGTATATATATTATATACGCACCTTGGTGGAGGTCTGCACTCTCTGAGTGCTTTTCTTGTTATTATTATTATCATTATTATTATTATTATTATTATTATTATTATTATTATAAACTCTGCCAAGGAGGTTATGTTTTTGACGGCGTTGGTTTGTTGGTTTGTTTGTTTGTTAGCAGCGTAGCTCAAAAAGTACTGGCCGGATTTCATCGAAATTTTGGGGACAAGTTAGAAAGGGACTAACTTAGAACCGATTAAATTTTGGTGACATTCCGAATTACCGTCTGGACGCAGCAGCGGTGTTTTGTTAATATTATTCTACTGTTAATATTATCTTCAATTTTATTATTAGTATACGTACTATTCTTATCATTCTTATTGTTATTTTTATTTTCGTTCCTCTTCTTTTTATTATTATTATTATCATTATTATCATTATCATCATCATCATCATTATTGTTATTATTATGATTATCATTGTTATATATGGTATATTATTATAACTATCATTATTATGATCATTATTATTATTATCATTATTATTATAATTATAATAATTATTATTATTATTATTATTATTGTTATCATTATCATTTGTATCAGTATTATTAATCTTGTCATTTTTACTGCTTTTGTTATCATTATCATTATTATCATTACATCTTTAATTCTATTATATCTCTCACTTATATATGTATATATGTATACATATATAAGTATATATATATATATATATATATATATATATATATATATATATATATATATATATATATATATATTACTATTATCATTATCATTATTACTGTTGTTATTGTTATTATCATTGTTATTATTATTATTATTATTATTATTATTATTATTATTATTATTATTATTATTATTATCATTATTATCATTATTATTGTTATTATCATTATTATCGTTATTATTATCTCTATTATTATTTTTGTTATAAATATCACTATTATCATCGTTATCATTATCTTTATTATTACTATTATTGTTATTATTATTAATAATAATATTATTTTATTATTATCATTATTATTATCATTGTTTTTATTATTGTTATTATTATTGTTATTATTGTTATTGTTATTATTATTATTATCATTATTATTATTATCATAGTTATTATTATTATTATCATTATCATTATTATTATTATTTTCATTGCCATTATCGTTACTGTTATCATTTCCATATTCATTATAGTTATTTTTACCATAATCTTTATCATTACTATTATCATTATCATTGTTGTTGATATTATTCTCATTGTTCTTATTCTTACTCTTATTATCATTATTATTTTCATAATAAGTTTAGTTATCATCATCGCTATCATTAATATCAATATTATCACAATCATATTCAGTTTACGAAAATGTATTCGTGTAGTATTGGTATTTATGCTCTTTAATGCAAATAGAAACAGCAACGAAGCTTCAATCGCGTCCTGCCCTTTCCCACAAGAAGAAATCATAACAGAACCGGAAAATGCAAACCGAAAAGACCGCAGGACAGACACGGCAGACGACGGAGCGAGCGCGCGACCGAGTGCAGAAATTGGCGGGCCACATTGCACCCCAAGCCAGCAGTGCCGCCGCCCTACGCCCACACGGAGCCAGGGGTGGGCGGGGCCAGGGTGGGCGCCTCGAGACGACCTCGGCGGGCGCGCACGCAGTTCCGCTGTGACCTCCGCCACGACAAGGCGCGCTCAACACAGCTGGCCCGAACGCACGCGCGCGCCCTCGCTCGCTCGTCCGCCCGTGCGCGTGCCGCCGCCCTCCTCCTCGCGCGGTCACGTGACTTGGGGCTCGCGGCCTGCGCTGACCTCGCCTGCTCTTGGAGTTGTGATGAATATGTGTAATTGTTTTTTTATACATTAATTTATGAATTTGATTAATTAACTCGTTTGTGCCAACTTCGGATTACGAAACGTGTTGCGCATATTTCTGTAATGACGAGGATTATTTGCGTTGGATGTGTGCTTACTTATATAATTAAATCTTCATTCTTCAATATACTCATCAATTTTCTCAAGTATGCACTGAGTGATTAAGTGTTCTGTGCTGTTCGGTGACGAATTTGCAAATGGTCTGTCAGAGAAAGAGAAATTTGGGTGAAAATCCTGGGAACGTTGGAGATCTTTCCAGAAAATGTTAAACAAGAAAAATATTCTGGCATCTTGAAATCTACCAATAAGATTTATTTTGTTTTGTACTGTGAGAAAATAAATGATATATGGTGATCATACGTAAGTGGTATGTGTACACAATATATAAATATAGTGAATAAACATAAACACATGGAGAAGTCCGTACACAATTTTCTAAGAAAATAACAAGCTAGTATACAGTTAAATACAACAGTATCATCCCCAAAAATGTATCGAAACCCAACACAGAAAATACAAAACAGAAGCAGCGCGCCCTCAAACCTCGTGACACGCCATGACAGAACCCCATGACAGCTACAAGATGGCCACAACATGTCAACAAGCGAGTGAAGCGAAGCAAAGTGGGCAGCGCGGAGTGACAGCTATCTGGAGTGAGAGGCAGATGTTGTAGTCAGTGGTTTGGGCGAATGTAGACACGCGCGTAGGTGTTGGCCGCTGGGTCAGGGAGGGGGGGGGGAGAGAAGTGGAGGGCTGAGGGAGGGGGAGGGGGAAGAAGTGGAGGGAGGGGGAGGGAAGGAAGCAAGGAAGGAGGCAGGGAAGGGGGGGGAGGTAGGGAGGGAAAGGAGAGGGATGACAGGGAAGGAGAGGAGGGAGAGAGTGGGGGAAGGTAAGGAAGGAGAGAGGGAAAGGGCAAGAATGGAAAAAAAGAGGGTTAGAAAAGGAGAATAAGTGTGTATATATGTATGTGTGTGTGAGAGAGAGAGAGAAAAAAAGAGAGAGGGAGAAAGAGAGAGAAAGAGAGAAAGAGAGAGAGAGAGAGACAGACAGAGAGAGATAAAGACAGACAAACAGACAGATAAACAGACAGACAGGCAGACAAACAAACAGAGAGACACACAGGACAAACAGAGACAGGGAGTAGCAGGAGCAAGAGAAGAGATTTGAAGCCGCCACTGTTTGCTTTGTCGTGCTATAAACGGAGGTCTGTGTAGCGTGACGCGTGTGCCAAAACAGTTTCCAAAACTGATAACCGTGAATTGTCTCTTTTCGCTCTCACCTCCATCAGCACCGCCTCACAACCGGGCTAATGCAATGAAAACCGTGACAGTTAGGTTGTGCCGTCAGTGCAGTGTTTAGGAGCAGTTAGCTTCCTTCTCGCGAGTGATATCAAAACCAGTTGCAACATTGATCAGTATGTCCTTATGCGACAGGGAACTTAACAGCTACTCCCGTGCATCTCATTAGTCCGACTCTGTTGCAGATGTTACTTCACGGAGCCCAGGGACCCGAGAGAGAGAGAGAGAGAGAGAGAGAGAGAGAGAGAGAGAGAGAGAGAGAGAGAGAGAGAGAGAGAGAGAGAGAGAGAGAGAGAGAGGGAGAAGAGAGAGAGAGAGAGAGAGAGAGGAGAGAGAGGAGAGAAAGAGAGAGAGAGAGAGAAAGAGAGAGAGAGAGAGAGAGAGAGAGAGAGAGAGAGAGAGAGAGAGAGAGAGAGAGAGAGAGAGAGAGAGAGAGAGAGAGAGAGAGAGAGAGAGAGAGAGAAAGAAGAGAGAGAGAAAGAAGAGAGATAGAGAGAGAGAAGAGAAGGAAAAAAAGAGAGAGAGAAAAAAAAGAAAAAATGCCCCAGCGCTCGCTCCTTCCCTCACATCCGGGTTTTAATTACGTCCCAGCCATCAATCGGAACTCCGCTTAATTAAGACTCCCGCACCTAATTGTCCTCGACTGCCTCCGTGCAAGAGAGGACGCCCAAGGAGAGCCTGGCACCGCGGCCTCGCCAGTGAAGCAGCGGTGAAGCAAGAACTGGTTTGCGCTGACGACTCCACCCAAGACGCGGTCGCTGCGGATCCTTTATAGAGGGACCGAAAATATTCGCTCACTTCGCCCTCTCCCGCTACCTGCCTGCGCCCATAAGCCCGCCCGCCCGCCCGCCCGCACGCCCATCTGTGCATAGGCGTGACGGGTGTGATAAGAAGGCGCCCCCACGCTAAGGAGGTCGAGGAAGAGTAGGAGGACTTGCGAGGAGGAGGCGGGTCAGGGAGCGGAGGATTCCTCCCCTAATCACTCGCTGCTTGAGTCAATATTGATCCTCCCGCCCTCACTCCCTCCCTCCCTCTGCCCCTCCCCTTCCCTCCTCACTTTTTTTCTACCTCCTTCTCCTTCCTTCATTCTCTCTTCGTCTCACCCCATTCCTCCTTTCCTCACTCTCCCTACACACTGTCCCTTTCCTTCCCCTCCTCTTTCTTTTTTTTCTTCGCCCCTTACCTTACTCTTTATCCCTCCTTCCCTTCTCCCTCTCTCTCTCTCTCTCTCTCTCTCTCTCTCTCCCTCCCTCTCTCTCTCTCCACCCCTCTTTCCCATCCGCTCTCCCCCTCTTCCTTCTCATCATCCCTATCCTTTCCTCCCACTCATCCCCTTCTTCTTCCCTTCTTCCCTTCCTCTCTCATTCCCTCCCTATCCCACCTTCCCACAGTCCTCCTTAATTCCCTCCTTTTTCGTTCATTCCCTCCTCCCCCCCTCCTTTCTCTCTCCCTCCCATTCTCTTACCCTTCCCCCTTCCTCACTCCCTCCTTCCCTTCTTCTCCCTTCCCCTCTTTCCTCCCTCCACCCTACCCCTCTTCCCGTCCGCACCCAAGTACCCCAAAGTGAGGCTTGTGTCAGTGTTACTTATCAACACTGAATGCACTGTGTATCGCTTTACTTGTCAATACTGAAAGCGCTATGTGTGTGTGCAGTGTTGCCAGCCTTTATTGAATACACTCTACTAGCGCCAGGGAGAAATTTGATCAGTGCTGCAAATCAAAGCGACAAGATAAAGGGAAAAAAAAGAAAAAAAGAGAGAGAAAAATAGCACTGACGAACTTAGCATATTTGGAAAGAATTCTCCCATGAAAAAAAATATCCTCATTGTCATTTCATTCTCGTATTTCTGTACACTCTTTAAATCAACATTAATTTTTAAAACAATCTCGTTCTAATGCCACGCGGTTCGATAGCATTCCCACCAAAGACGCTGAACACACGGGCAAAAAAGGAAAAATATTTGCATAACTTGTGCCACATAAATTCCGCGCGATTTTCTCGTCTCTCGCCTCAAGCAGATAAGGTAAAGACAAGGAATGTTCATCATGCCATTAACAAGGAAGAAACTCCTTCGACAATCTAGCACTTAAAGACACCAAAAAAGGACTCACACTTTGTCGATTTCTTCCTGTCATCGTCCGTGTTCCTGCATTTTGTTTGTATCTTTTATATTTCCCATTTTATCTCAATTTCTCTAATTTCGCTTCTTTTCCCTTATTATCCCTATTATTTTCCCTCTTCGACATTTTTTAACATTTTATTCTTTTCTTTTCTTTTCTTCTTATTACGTTTTCCTTACATCCTTCTGGTCCCTTTGCGCAGGACGTCCCTCACCAAGACCCCAGAAAGACCCCAGAAGTACCCCAGAAGCACCCCAGAAGGACCCCTGAAAGACCTTCAAAAAGACCTCCAGAAGGACCCCAAAATGACCCCAGGTGTATCCCAGACGACCCCAGGAGGACTCCCAATAGGACTCCCAAAAGGACCCCCCCAAAAAGGACCCCCAGAAAGACCACGATCCCTGAAGCAAGCTCTGTCTCAGGAGCAGATGCGATAGACAGCCCGGCCGGTCGTGTCCCCCGCCTCGCCTGTCACCATCCCGCGCCCCTTCGCCACCCGACACGCTGTACCTGTCAATATCCTTCACGCGGCTCTCCTACAAGGACTCCTCCACCCCCACCCCCTCACCCCCCACCCCCCATCCACTCCTGTTCTCTTTCCTCTCCTTCTCGGCGTATTCTGTTTCGTCCTTGGGTATCATTTCTCGCCTCATCTCTTCTCGTTTGCTTTTTTTTTTTTATCTCGTCCTTCTCTCCTCCCCTCTTTCTCTCCTCCTTGCTTCATTCGTTTTTTTTTTTAATTGTTTTTCCTTTGTTTTCTTCTTGATTCTTCTGTTCTATTCCCTTCCCTCCCCTCTCTTTCTCTCCTTCCTCTCTGTTCTCTCCTCTTCTTCTCCTTTCCACTTTCTCCTTTTAATTCCTTACCTGTTTTTCCTTTCTCTCTTCTCCTTCTCTCTTCCCATTTCTCCTTTTAATACCTTCCCCACTTTTCCTCTCTCTCCGTTCTCCCCTTTTCCTCTCTCTCTGTTCACCTCTTTTCCTCTCTCTCTATTCCTCCCTGGCTTTCGTATCCCTAACCCTATCCCTACTGATGCCCCGTGCCCTTATACCTTACCCCTTAACCCTACTGCTGTACCATGCCCCTACCCCCCCACCCCAACCCTTCAATTCGTGCCCCCTACTATACCCCTACCCCCTCCCTCTTAGCCCGTGCCCATACGTTCTCTCCTGGCCCTTCCCCCCCTGCCCCTTCCCCCATCCCTACCCTTCAATCCGTCCAATGCCTCTACCCCCTCCCCCCTGCCTACCCTGCTTATCTCGCTTGCCTTGTGCCTCCCCCCCCCCTACCCTCCAATCCGTCCCATACCCTACTCCCCTCCCCTCCCCCTCCCCCTCCACCCCATTTTACTTATTCCTTGCCTCGTGCCCCGTACCCTACCCCTCCTCCCCAATCTATACCCTACCCTCCTCCCCTCCCCCCACCCTTCCTGCTCCCCCCTTGCCCCCATGCCCCCTGCCCCTTCTTCCCTGGCTTTCGTCTGGCCTAACACCTGCCCCATGCCCGTTCCCTGCCTATGCCCTGGCGCCTGTTCGCACCCCATGCCCCTCGC